CACAAGTCATGCAAACCTATGATTTGGTACTTTTTTATGAGGACTTTCTATTTCAATAAAAGCGAAACTTTTGTATAGAAAAGTCTCGAATTGATGTTAAATCGACAACACTTTATAAATTGTCTTTTGCATTCAAATTGTATTTTAAAATCTCATTTAAACATTTGATTGCATTTAATTATAAATCAGCGATCAATACACGAATCAAATGATGTATAAAATGACTTAATTATCATAATTAGATGTCATAAACAATGTCAGGGCTATTGGGCTGAACACAGAAAGCGTAACATATATAGTGAGTTAAAAACACAGTTTACATTGCAATTGAATGGAGTGCACGTGAATTGGGGGCAGAGAGGGGGCCATAGAAAGTGAGCCTAATTAGATATACGAGTGACTCATTTCTAGAGTAATCTCGTGGTCACGTGAGTCAGTGTACAGTCTATGGCAGTCTATGGGAAACACAATCGCATTATATTTCACGCATTCATATAGCGTTGCATTCATTGTCTCATTCAGTCGTCAATCCACTCATAATTGCTTTGATTTGCCGTTAAATCCATTAATTGTCCGAAAGTTGAGTGCATTTAGTGATTGAATTGATTGCATATATCGTGTGTTGAAGTGATAGCAATGCCTGAAACACAACACAAGTATGTATTAAAGGTGTGACACAAACGCCTGTAAATTATCGCACGTTTTCTCTCCCTTTCCCTCATAAACACCGTTAGAGTACTACCGGCGCCGGTATATTGGGCTCAGAGGTCTAATCTGGTGTACATCAAGATCGGTGTCGAGGACGTCAAGTCACCCGACATTAAAGTAGAAAAAGACAAAATCTATTACAAGTAATGACACAATCATTGGATTTACTATTAATGACATGCAATCAGTCAATGCTTTCATGCAATCATTTAAATGAGTTTTAAATTTGGTTTTTGTTTATGTTTTCAAACTTTGATTTGTGAGACCAGTGCTCACTTTGTATCCCATTTGCCGTATTTCACACTTTTCTCTTAAATACATTTGTTTTACGTTTAGCTATCAATTCAATCCTTAATTGTTGTTTAGTCTAACCATAGATAGCAATCGATTTACTATTATACATGTATTTATTATCTTATCATACGTTGGCGTATATACTGTTAGTTTTATCACCGGTTGTGTTGTAATGTATTATATATTTGTGTACAACAGAGGTGTGGGTTCTGGAAGTAAACAGGAATATGAGGCAAATCTGGAGCTTTTCGACGAAATCAATACCGAAAACTCGAAATATATAGTGAGAGACAGAGGGACGGAGTTTGTGCTGATTAAGGCCAAAGAGGGGCCCTTCTGGAAGCGACTGCTCAAAACCCAACAGAAGTTTCATTGGCTTAAGATTGACTTCAATAAGTGGAAAGATGAGGACGACTCCGAGGACGAGGCCTCCGGACCTGGCGGTGTGGGCGGCGGTGGCGGCGACTTCGAGGAGGTCTGTCTCCAGCCGTGACATTCACTTTTCAATCACTTTCTCATCTGTTGTGTTGTCTAACCCTTTGTTTCTTACTATTAGATGATGAGACAAATGGGAGGCCTCGGAGGTATGGGAGGCGCCGGTATGCCTGATTTGGGCGACTTAGATGTAAGTGCATTGGTGTCCAGTTTGTCGTATGCATTGTACTAATGGTTTGAATGTTTAGGACAAAGAAGAAGGCGGTGCCGACAGCGATGACGAAGAATTGCCAGAATTAGAGGACAAATAAGTGTTTAGTTTGGTATCAGACATGAAAATGAGCCACAATTCTGTACAGCATTTGAAACAATTCATTAAATTCCCAATTAATACGAAAGGATTCCTCAAATATATTGAATACGAAAATGCATTACATTTTCTTAAAATTTTTTCAATTACTAGTGAATATAATAGACTTTTATGAATCGATTTATGCTTTTGAGTGATTGTAAATCTCACACAACATATTAGTTGAATTAAAAAGTTTAATATATCGGAAAGCAAACAGTTATTAGTTAATCGTTTTATATATGAAATAATTTTAAATTTTTCACATAAACTCAACGCTTATATCAATTTCACAGTATATGACAATAATATTAGTAAAATATTTGTGAGAAACTAAGTATTTTAGTGTTATTTTCGTAAACATTTTTGATTTGAATTAATTGTACGTTTTTTTGTGGATTATATATCATTTATATTAATGTATTTTTTCAAAAATAAACAATTAATTTGATATAATATTTTACAATCACTCGTATTTAACTTAATTTTATAATACATTGAAATAATGATACAGAATATGAAATTATAAGCTACTGTAGTGCCAATAAACAATAATTAAGTGATTATACAAATCAACAAATTTCTGCAAAACATTTCAAGTATTGAATCATTTCGTCAAAACACCGGTGAAGCGATTCTTTCGGTTCTTTTTGTGTCGAAACACCTGGTCATCCATGTGGTCATCCATGTGGTCGACCCATTCATTGGGTTTGGACACAGAATTGACAGAATTGGTGCCAAATTTGAGTTGTGATTGATAGTCGTCTAACATTTGATTGCAATCAATGTATAGCGCCATAAGAAGCCAATATTCATCCGACGATTTGTCGAAATCTTTGATTTTGAATTTTACAATTTTATTATTTTATTTTGTAATGACTTTGAAAACAAGATTTTAATGAACATATTTCCTTAAAACAGAATAATGCAAACATACAGTAATTAAAATAATCTAATTTAATATAAAATGAATATAAAATATTATCAGAATACGGTAAATTGAAAAATAATAATCATAGCTTTCTTACCATTATTGGCAATTTGTTGCAAATTCAATAACATTTGATTACAATCTTTTTCAATAAATGGCTTATTATCACACCATACAAACCCTATTAATGCATATAATATCAACACTTCTTTTACACTCATTTTCTCGAATTGAGACAACTTTTCTGGTTCACTCTTAAAAGACAATTGACCGAGATCTTTGGTTTGCACTCGACTTTAAACAACAATGAATTGAATTAATTTAATAGAATTTCTATTCTTAAATCTCTGTTACTATTTATAAAAAGCATTACTTTATTAAAATTTCTATGTAATTTGGATAATATATATTTATACAGTACAGCACCCAGTATATATATTTACAGGGATGTAAGACCGCAAACAAAGTTTACGATGAATTCATTGCTTTAAAAGTTTTCGTGTCTTAAAAATCATTTTTACTTCACTTGCTTTACTTAAACTCTTAAGAAAATTCATATATTTTAAACTTTTCAATTGACATTTTGTTTTATATAAAGCATTTTAGTTTTATATATTAAACAACTAGATTATGGTTAAATAATTTTGTTAAAATAAATATTATTTAATGAAAACATACTAGTAGTCAGTCAAGAGTAAGAATCGTAAGACTATTATTTATAAATAGATTATCATACTTGTATCAATATTACTTAATACATGTATTTTGTATATTCACTTATTTTAGTCTCAGAATATTTGTAAATCTTTATAAAACTTTATAAAATATTATAAAAATAATATCTTAATGTACATTAAATGATTTTACTATTTAAACTTAGTTTTATTTATAAATCAATATAAATATTAAAATAAATAAAATATTATTTTGAATTAAATCTGATTAAATGCTATTTTTATTTATGTTATTGACATTTTACCACTATTTATAATATAAATTTTATATTCTTTGTGTTTTACTCTAGTATTTAGGCTTCCGTTTAAGACAATTGTTATTATAAATAATTATTACTGTATTTACAAAATACTAAGGATGTTAAAATACGGTATTTTATTTTTTGATTATATTATACGTGTATTATACGGTATTTTATGGTATATTATACAGTATATCAATAGATTCTACATTTACTTTCAATTTGGATAAAATATTTAAGATAGTTACATTTATTTCTACCTAACTTGACAAAAAATTAATTGTTAATTATTCAAAGAATAGTTTTTAACAAAATTAATAACTTGTAGAGTATTGTATTGTAATTAAATATTATATAATGTATTGTAATTACATTATAATAATTATTTTATGTGTTTGAATAATAAAAGTACAATATAATATCGCATATGTTCAATATTCATTTATATATTTTACTAATTATAAAACTATTTAACAACCATTTATCACTTAATAAAGAATTTTTACTTATTTTAGATTACTGTATTAAATTATATAAATTATGTTTATAATTATGTTTATAAGTTATAATGTACATTTATTCATAGAGTATTGTCAATTATGTTAAGTATGTCATTAAACAACATATAATATATATTAAAATATACTGTACTATGCAAATGAAACATGTTATATTTCAATACAATATAGTTTGAACAGTCAATATTTTATTGTTTTTTAATTATTATCGTGAAAATAGCATCAAACATGAAATTTGGATATAAGTTACATAGTATGTAGTGTTACTTGTTATGTAATACATACATCAAAACAATTCTTATAACACATGAGGTTCTTATTCTATACTATAATATATACGTAAGTATTCTGAGTATGACTACATTTTTAAGAAAGTCAAGTATGTTTTCAATAATATACTCGGTAACTTTGGAAAATATAAGGTTTAATAGAAAGTACATGTAGTACATGTCATGTACATATAGATTTATTGGTATCAATAATAATTAATTACAAAGCTACAAATATAACCAATATATCTTGACATCATATTATAAGTTATAAAGTAATAATTTTTTTAGTTTCAAAATTATTTCATGTTTAAAATTATCTAAATATTCGTTAAAACAATTTAGTGGAAATTTTTATATTTAATACATATGAAGTTAAATTAATTAAATTTGTACACGTTTCTATCTGTTAAATTGAAATTTTAAATATTGAACAATTTTCTAGAAATATACTCAAGAATATATTTTCAAAATTTATGTTCAAATTTCTATTTACTTGTAGAATATTCTTAATGCAAAAATTTTTTTAGCAGTATCAAACAAATTTAAATAAAAGTATTTTAATAATTGGCATACAATTTGATAGATTTATTTTAGGTATAGTTTAATAATGTAAGATAATATAAAATCCAAACAAATATTTAATGACTATCCATTTTGAGTTTATACTGCTAAAGATTAATGGTAAACACAACTGTCCTGTCATATCATTTGATGAGTTTTATATTAATTTTATTAAAATATTTACAGTAAATACAAAATGTCCTCAATATTAACACTATTTCATTAAATAATAAAAATAATATGAAATAAAATCAATATTACAGTCGAAGTCATTGTAATGAATATTTAATAAAAGCAATTTGATTTAAAATAGCCTAAATGTAATGTATTTTAATTATTAATTTTTAAGTCGTGACTAAATGATTATATATTAGGAAATAAACAGGTAGAAGTTAATCAAATACGAAAAGTTTACTAAACATCCAAAAAAGGTTCTCAATATCTTCAATAATTTATAATTTATTTGAAGTAATAAATTATTTTTACAGTATTTTCAATGTTATATTTGGATTTCTCATAAATTCATATAAACCCGATTTAATGTTAACTTTTTATGCCTTTAATGCCTTTTAATGAGTCAATATTTTAATTAGTATTTTAGTATTTCGGTTATTTTCCACGAGCCTTATCATAGTACCCAAGATTTTAAAACATTTTCCTTATTTTACTGTCATTTAGTATTAACGTAAAGCAAATTTAGATTAAAGTGTAAAAATTTCAAATATTCTAATAAAATAATCTAACTAGTTAAATTACAGTGTATCCAAAATTGTTTACTTGTATTTCAAAAAAGTTGCTAAATATGTGCTAAAAAACTAAGAAAATTAAGAAATTTGTTTGTATTGTATATAAAATTATATAAAAGTGTTGGACTGTTCTAAATGTAAATGATTTCAATGACGTGAATCAATAACACTTAAAAACTTTTGACAATTAATACATTCAGTCATATCTGAAGTGCAAAAAAGCTTTTATCTGAGCTATAAAAGTGAGAATTATTACGGATTTATTGTCATTTAGTGTGTTTCCCGTTAAGTTGTCTCACAAAACACACTACTATTACATCAATATATTAATCATGACTTCAGTTTCCAATCTATTGAACGCTTTGCTATTACTTACATTTATTAATTACATTTCATCACA